GAATGATTGTCACTAATTTACGGAGCCCCTAAGGCGCAATTGTAAACATATTTATTTATTATTTCGTTTAAACGAAATAATTAATTCGTTTAAACGAAATAACATCATTTATTTCGTTTAAACGAAATAATTTTTCAATTATTTCGTTTAAACGAAATAGACGAAAAAATTAATTCGTTTATACGAAATAAATTATTATAATAATAATAAAAAGTGTTGAAAATTGCGCTTAAGGGGCTCCGCACTAATTCATTTGATAAGATAACAGAGTTAAAAAATTGAATCATAGGACACATCAAAATTGTGGTTTGTGTGGTCAAAGGAGAAAGGAAGAGGGTTGTAGTCACTGTCAAACGTGAATGACAGGTTAATTATTGTTAATCACTATATTTTCAAATTGTCTAAAAGACACCTTGGGTTCCACTTTAAGGGCACTTGTTTCCCACATTGAAAACAGGGCATTAAAATAACCTTTTGAAAAATGATTTCTTTTGTTTCGGCGTACTCTTCACATCTGATTGTGTCATGCCTAAACTTGATTGTACAGCATTCATATAGCTATCAACATCCAGTTTCGCAGAGTCTTTACGACGTCTTTCTTCTTCCTCAATAGCAGTCCAATCTACATGGTCTACATCAAATACAGCAGGGATATTATTATATTTCTCACTGCAGATTTTTGTCCGAATCTCCTCCACCACTTCTTGTTTTCTATCTTTGCAATCGAGTATAAAATAAGGAAGCTGTGGTAGACATCTTGGAAACTGAAATTCATCATCTTCTAAGGAATCTTTTCCAGTGAAAACTATAATCATATGATTAATAACATTATCTCCAAACAGTTTCTTTATAAACTCTAATGACTCCTTTTCATCACCTGAAAATCTTTCGTCAGCACTCAGAACCAAAATATAGACATTTATCAACAATCTATTTACTTTTATAGTGTTCATAATTTCTTTAGCGACGTCCACATCTGACCGGAGCGTTGAGAAAAATCCAGGAGTATCCATTACTACCATGTGGTCTGTTAGCTCGATATGGCATTCCTTGGTTCTTCTCTCTTCCATTATATTTGTCTTGAACTTCTTGGCTCCCAGCAAATAATTACCAAGAGAACTTTTACCAATTCCACTCTTACCAAGTAAAATAATATGTCTTGTGTCATTTATTGTTGGCTTGGCTGCATCGTCTGTCTCCATTATTTCTGGAATAAAAATATCACACTGAAATAAAATTACTGGTAAGCATAGATATAGATATATATACCCAATTTTACTTAGACAATATTTAGTCAAAATGAATTTAAGATAGAAACAGAAATACAAACAGGAAATAATTTTAAAATACAATATAAAAGATCTTAAATGTTCCGAAATGACCCATTATAATTTTGGTTCCCAGCTTATCGGATTTTCCGTACCCCTTAATCTGCTTCAAGTTATCCAGGTGAGTGCCGTGAAAAATCAAAACGTTGATCTAAAATCTATAGCTTAAGGATACATAGACGGACATCAAATTAACAAAAACAAACGTGCATCAAGTGACACATCACAATTGTGGTTAAATGGTCCAAGAGGGTGGTGGGGGAGGGGGGTTAAGAGCGCTACCGGAAGTTGAATGATATGCTGACTATTGCATTACACTACTTTAACAATTGTCTCAAGATACTTCTTTGGTACCTAATTTGTACACCTAAAGGGAACTAGTAGTCCATTATGAGAACACAACATTACTATAAACACTACCTATTAAACTTGATTTCTTTTGTTTCGGTGAGTTCTTCACATCTGATTGTGTCATGCCTAAACTTGACTGTACAGCATTCACATAGCCATGAACATCCAGTTTCGCAGAGTCTTTACGACGTCTTTCTTCTTTTTCAATAGCAGTCCAATCTACATGGTCTACACCAAATACAGCAGGGAT